TAAGCACTATTGTCACTGATGGAAACTTCACAAGGTTTCATGCTTTAATATTATGTTAAATATGATGTGTATCTTTGGAAGATCAGGAAGTGATTAAGGATTTCAAATAAGAGAACTGTATATAGCCCATTTCTATCCACCTCTGCTGTAACTCAGGCAGAAATTCATAAGGGGTGGGGAAAACCTTTCCTCTCTTGCTACACCATATAAACAAAGATTACAAAGCCCTGATACAACTGAGCCTGTCATATAGCATAAGTAGAGCTGTGGAGACCAAGACAGAATTGGAAGAATACTGGGACAAAGAATAGAACAATGCAAGGGAAAGCTGCTTGTTCCCAATTTTTCAAAAAAATATTATGGAACATATATTTGGTTTTTAATCTCCCCCCCCCTCCATCTGCCTTTACAACTGTAAACAGAAGCCACGTCAACATCTGCCTAGATTGTTTGATCATACAAGTAAATCATTAAAGTTGAAGGAATACAAAGGCAGTGCCTACCTACAAATTTGGTTCATTTCTCCTCACTTTAAACAGGATTGATGATTAAGCTCACTAAAGAAGTCTTAAACATCTCACACAGGCCAAAATGATGAAAAGTGAGAAGATGCACATATAAGCCGGGGCAGGCTGGTAGGAACAGCTAATCAAAATGACAAGCGCTGCCATTCTAGACAAATTGTCACCACTATTGTTTTGCCTGCTGTGGTTTAGGCATCACATCCCATTTAATACTGACATTGCCTTGAGAAGCAGCATCAAGAGCAAATTGCATTATTGCAGTGGAGAAGTGGGCAGCAAAAGAGCTGCCAACTCAAGTCATCTTTCAGGCAAGAGAGAAATAGTTGCAACAGCTTCCCTTCTCAACAACAGTGAAGACCAAAGCTAGCCTGCCTGCTCCAGAGGCAAGTGTAGATTAGGGTAGCTCTGGAGAAAAGGTTCTGGTCTGACTCTGCCTGGTTTTGCTTGTCATAAACCCCTGCCTTTGGGCCTTCCTGTTTACACCAGAGGATTTAGATGAGGCCAAGGCATGGTCTGCCTCCTCAGGGACAGGACTCAACTCCTTATCCACAGCCCTCCCAGCCAGGGGGCACAGCTCTTGCTCAGAGGATGAGTTCCTAGCAGAATCTCCATCTCCCCAGTCTCAGGCTAGTGAATCTGATGGGGGGCCTTTAACGATCCAATAAACTCCTCCAGGAGGGACAGAACTGACTACACTACAGGCCTGTCAACCTACAAAAGGCTTCAGTTGGCCTTAGCTAACTGCTGAGGCAACGTCTTCCTATTGCCCTTCTGGGGGGAGAAGGAGAGAGATCCAAGCAGCATGACCCACTGGGAGTTTGTTCCTTCCTGCCTTGCACTTACTGCCAGATTCCCCTGTGAACCTTGAGGGAGCCTCAAATGGGACAATGCTTTGCTATGCGACTACACCCTTGGCTCAATGAAATAGAGACAGCACCACCAAGAACAGCAGGATGCAGAAGGACTGCAGTGTGCACTGAAATGGTCTCTCTTGTTCTGTGTTGATTTGGAGCACGCTTATCAAGCAGATGGTCACTGCTACACTATTACAATCAAAGCCTTTTTTCAAGGGCAACTCAATCTATAAATATCTCAACCAAGTTGCAGAGGCTTTCCTGTCCTGTCCTGTCCATTCCATTTTTTCTTTGCTTGCAAAAGACATCAACTTCTTGGTGAACATTTCAAAACATGGCATTAAACACAAGGAAAGGATCTCATCTCAGGAGAGGGGACACAGCTCCAATCAGCTGTTTCAATAGTGCATAAATGTTGTCCTCAACTTCAATCAGAATGCTCTAATTAGCCCAGCGAGAATTGATTTCCATGCAAGAGGCTTTGGAATCATATGATTCCTGCACAGTAAAGGATTATCAGACCTGAATTCTTGATTATGAAACACACACACACATCCAGCTGCAAATCCAGACTTGACTTCTCAGGCATGCAAGAAACCTTGTTATCAGATGGCATTTTGTTTCTACTTCACCATCTGAGAACAAGGTTTTGGATCCACACAATGAATGCAGCAGCAAAAAGCAAGAAGACATTGCCTGACTTTATGGCAGGATTTCCTCATTCGGGGCACCCCAACAACCCCACACAGAGGAGCTCAAACAAAGGGCAGGGGAGAAAGACTGACTCAGCTGCTGTACCCCACAATGACACATGAGGCTACATGGATAGTGGAATAGGCTGTAACAAATCTTGGCTGATTAAGGGACATGGACATGTTGGCAGGCCTCTTGCACTGGCAGGGTACGATCTAACGCTTAAGGGACTCTGCCCTTGGAGCAACATTTGCATCCAGAAAGAGGTTGAAAATCTCTTCACTACAAAATCTATATTAACTACAAACACCAGAAGGATATACATTTTCAAAAAGGAAACCTTACAGCAGTGAAGGAAAACACCATGGGGGAATATAAAATTCTGCTGTACAGTTCTAACCTTCATGAAAACAACCTATACTAACAGTGGAAAACCTCCAGCCCGCTGAGCTATTCCAGCCTGCAGAAGCTTGGCCTCCCTCCATGGGCCCTGCCCCTTGGCTCCCCAAGCCATGCCCTAGGCAAGGCATCTCCTTGCAAAGAGGACTTCCCTGAATACCAATCCCTGCCTGATTGACAGGGCAAGTGGCATACAGGGGAGACCCCTTGCTATCTCCAATCCCCCCATGCCATGCCCAGTGGGGGTAGGGGAAGCCCAGTTAAGCAGCAGCTGGAGAAGATGCCGTTGGTGTTCCAGCCAGGAACCAGACAAATCTGGCTGCATGACACTCCCACGGGAACAATGCCCGTTCTGCCCAGCCCAAGCGCTCTTCCCAGTGCCAGCTGGTCCATTCACACAGCATGTGCCTCCCCCACAGGGACCACGATTCCTACACTTGCTTTGAAATAATATACTCTTTGACTGGCACCACACACTGTGACTCTTCAGGGCATATGCCTCTGCAGGTAGCAGATTAATAGAAAACAAATTAATTTTTGGTTCTTGCAAACACTTGGTGGGGTAAGCTAACTTGCCTCAGTAAGAATTCTGTTTTCATGTCTCAGGTTGTACACTAGTTGGGAAGATAGCTAATGAATGTGTTTGGGAAAGTAATTAAATGCTTAGTTTTCCAGTAAGAAGAATGCAACATTCACAATGCAGCACGCTGGCACCGCCAGCATATATTCAGCCAATGCCAGCTATTAGCCGAACTCAACCAGAGTACACAAAAAGCTAAGAAAGCATGTCCATAAATGTTTAAAATGGATACAGTAACTATATTGTATTGCACTTCTTAAGGAGAAGCTGCCAACATTCATGAACATTTTAGACTGCTGAGTGAACAATGTTGCCAAAATATTTCAGTTCAGCTCTGTGAGGGAAGGGAAAGTTGTAACTTTGGATCACATTAACACCTTGTAGCTCCTAGGGAGAGGAATGATCTTTGCAGGGCAGATTGGAGACTAGCAGGCGACTGCAGGAGGGATAGGAAGGTAAGCTGGTGGAAATGTGCAGGATAGACTATGGAATGAGAAGGAAGAATATGGGCAAGGAGTCTGGAAAGGGCAGTGACAGAGAGAGAAGAAATCAGAAATTAAGGGAAAAGGAGGACGTAATGAGATAAAAGCCTATGAAAACCCATATAACAGCTTTTGAAAAATATTGTTGCATAGAAGCAGCCACCTCAATATTTCCATGTAATTATTTTATCCTGTTATGAACCCAGCTGAAAAGTAGAGTTTGAGGAAACCAATAAAGAAGCATATAGCTGAAAAAGAGGGGCCACTGGGTCAGATATCATGCAAGACCAACAATAAAAAGAATTGGATATGATTTATGTAGTTGACTTCTATACTGCCCAGCAGCCAAAGCTTTCTGGGCTGCTACACAAAAGAGGTTTGGAAAGTAAGGGCAGCAGAGTAAGAAGCCTTGATGACACAAATGCATAAAGATAAGCTACTATCTGCCTCATATTAAAAAGAAAGATCATGCATTTTGCAGGAGACAAGTTAAGAGCATAGAAGCAAGTGGATGGTAAATTTGTCCTAGATCCACCAGTACAACTATACTCCTTCCCAAGTTGTTTTCCTTTCATTCATGTGTTCCACTCTTATAAACCCCACAAAGGAAAAGGCAGATTTGCTTCATGAATAGCAAAATGCAGGCTGCGCAGACCGTGAAGCCAACAAACACTGGGCAAAAGTGGTGGCAAGACAAACTGTCGCATATTGATTTACAGCAGCCAGACACCTCTTTGGATGCAGCGGAATGCATTATTGTGGAGCTAACAAGATACGCAGGTGGGTAAAGTAGCCCTGTCGCCTGGCTTGGCACTCAGCTGCACGGCGCTGAACTTTCCAAGGCTTTGGACACACAAGAAAAGAAGCGTTTAATCAGCCGGGAAATCTTGCAAGTTCTTCCAAAGAAAAAGTAGTTCCGCATTTCTTTTCTCCAATTCTTCAATTCAGCTTCCTCGAATAAACCATTTGCTGTATGGAGATCACCGGGTTGGGGACAGCTGACAAAGGTACTGCAGTCCAGATCGGACAGACGGTTTTGTTTCCAAACTCCCCGCCGCTGCCTCGGCGCGCCTGAGTTAGTCATCTTCACATGCGGTGGCGTGACACCCATCGCAGAGCGAATGCTCACGTACGCGTGCAGCTCCTTATATGCATGCACGGCCCCTTCCCAGCACAGCGCTGGACCCCTCGCCTGTCGCGGATGCGCGGAGAACGCCCGCTCCTCCGGAGCAGCACCCAAGCCAAGGCGCCTGCGAGCCAGCCAACCCGCGCTGCAGCCCATCCCCGCGCCTTAGGCCAGCGAGGCGGCTTGCGCACCACGCAGCCTCCACCGGGCGTAAACTCGACGTGCTGGCGCAGCGCCGCAGTCCCAGCGCCGGACCGGGGACAGCCTGGCCAGGCGCGGGCGGCGCCCTCCCTGTGCCGCGCCGGCACCTGCAGAGCCCTGCCTGCCCGGCGGCGCCCTCACCTGTCCTCCGAGACGCTGATGAGCCCCTCTTCCTTGGGCACGATGGCCGCCATGGTCACCGCGTCCTGCGAGCCCTCCACCTGGCCAAGCAGGATGGGCCGCCGGGTGAGCGGCGCCGCGGGCAGGGGCTCGGCGGCCATGGAGGGCAGCTCGGCGCGCCCGGCTCCTGCTGCGGCGGCGGCGGCGGCGGCTGCAGCCGGGCACCCACAAGCCGGCAGAGCCCTCCAGGAACGCCGCGCATGCGGGCAGAAGCGAGGCCGGAAGCGAGGGGCGGGGACCGGGGCCAGGGCCGCAGTCCGAGCGCTGTCGCGCACGACTTCCGGAGCTCGTGCGCAGCGGGTAGGCTTCTCCACGCGCCCCTCAGGAACAGTGTGGGGGCAAGAAGCAAGAAAGGACGCCGCACAGACGCAATCCTCCGTCTAAGCGCGCATAGCGCTGCGCCTGACAAGTGCATGCAAAGTGAAGCAGGCTTGCTCACGGACTCGCATTCATCACAACGCTTAGAAAGAATCACGTACTCTCCCCCCCACCGCCAAAAAAAAGCCTACAGAAGTTAAACTGGGCTCAGGTTGATTGATTGATCAAGCACAGTGCTGAGTTCTTTAAATGCCCCACAAGCGGAGATGCTACAGGTGGCGCTACCACGATGAGTCGCTTTACGCCACCCGATGTACAGTATTTCTACATGCCGCCTTGCTGGACAGGCAGAGGAGAGTAAATATCAAAGTCAAGCTTTTGTTGCAGCGATTTGGAAAACGCGGTATCTTTGCTATGCCTCCTCCTAGAATAAAAGGGAAAGTAAACGACTCTTGGGCCTCCAGCACTTGCTTAGGCTCCGATTTCCCAAGGAGGTCGACACTGGGGACTTGGGGTGTTTCGTTCATGAAAGGTTTGTCGCTCCTCCGTTCAAAGGTGGGGCTCCACACCGTTTCCTGACCTGCCAGAGATCCCGGGTCAGCTCATTTCTTCCTCGGCTCAAACTCTCCCACTGTCTTGCTGCCCTGCAACCACCTGAAGGGCTACAGTGCGGAGGGAGTGCGGGAATCCTGAATCACTTTGTGACACTGAGTTTCAAGGGATCCCTGAAGGACACTCGGCTGATGCCAAGCTTGCACTCTCAACAGTTCAAGCTTACACATGTGATGCACAAATCAACAGGTAGAACTTTCAGTGGTTACATAATGCAATCACTGACGCATCACCAGGTCTGAGAAAAAGACTGTTTTCTAGAAATGTAGCTGACACTGACCAGGCACCGGTCCAGAGAAAGCTAGTTGGCACTCGACAGATGCCAGCACCCCAAATAAAGGACAGTTCACACCAGTCCACCTAATTCTCCTCCTCTTCTATGTAATAGGACCCCAGTCCTCCCCTTCAGAGCATCTTCTTCGGTATGCAAGTGGGAAAGATCACACCATTGCAATTGTTTACTTCTGTAACCTGTTGGAAATCATTAACTGTGTTACATGTAAACTTTTAATGATCAATGTATAAAAGGGCCAACTGAGTAATGCTCAGGTGTGCCATTTGGAACAATTCGTTGGTAGCTGGTTATTCTCGAGAATAAATCCTTTAAAAGAAAAAATTCCCCTGTTGTGTATTTTGGGCATATGCACACCCGGACACGGACCATTTGATCAACACATCCCAGGCAAACATTTGTAACACTTCTCTTTTTATTTCTGCCTCATTATGCCCTCTCATTTTTACCTCGGTGACGTATCATTTTTTAAATAACCCCCTTTTTATAAACCACATCAACAATTAGAGTTCTGTTCAACCAACTAAAGGAGTAGGGTCCTGCAGTGAACATTAGTATTTGGGGAAGGGGGGGGGTTAAAAAGTCATTTCGGTGTCTTGAGCGCTCCTAAACCTGCCCTGTCGAACACTTCCATGAAGCACTCTAATGGGAACCGAAAGTAAGGGCTTCTGCGAAGCTCCTATTTTCCCTCTCTTTGGTGTGCAAGAAGGAGCTCGGTTGTAGCAACTTCATTCACTTGTGTCGCGTTCGTTCCTTCACTCAGCCAGTGCCAGATAGAAACGGAAAGTCTGGGAACAGGTGGGCTCTATATTGGTTTGCTGGACTCCTCATCATGTGTAGTAGCGGGGAGCCCGCACGCTTCTAACTTTGCGTCGCTTCTGTTGCTGAAAAAGCATGTCAGCAGCGTTCGACTTGGCCAAAAACTTTGGGACGACGGACAAGAGCTGCTGACTTTTAAAAGACAAGTGTGCTCCTCCAAGCAAGCCACCTTGGCACGATAAGTGATGATAATACCACTACCACATGGGCGGGGAGGGGGGGAGGAGCGACGACATGAAAGAGACTTGATGCAATTCAAGATGCATCCAGTCAGAAAGAAGCCAGACGCTTTTTGTCTTCTGAACATGCCAAAATGACAAGAGTTTTTAAAATCCGGTGGATCTGTCAGCACCAAAGTAGCACCAAATGTGCTCAACCCTCAGCACTGGGCAATCTCTTCCTTCATTCCCACGGATACCATGACATTATGCACCTTTATTTAATGTACACCTTTCCCCCCAAGATCATTAGATGTGGAAAAAGTAGATCAGAAAAGTAAACAAAGTTACATAGCATTTTATTGTTAAAAAGACAAGAAAATGCATTAAGATTGCTATTACTACTTTAAAACAGAGTATCTGCAAATTTACTTACCACTGATCAAGTGTTACAAGCCCTATTTCCTAACTCTATCCAACCTATCCATCCAAATTACCCTATCAAGCTGCCCCTCAAAATTCACCCACATCAAAGGCTTGAAAGACAGTGTTATCTCTGGCTGGGCTTGACTTCTACCAGGAAACTACCAGACTCTCCACAATTCACCAGACTCTCCACAAAGTCTTTGGTCTGGTGCAGCAGCTGCTCAGTTTTCAGACTACCCCCCCACCCCCCCACGCAGCTGCTACTTTGGATTTAGCTTGTCCCCACAAGGTTACTCCAGGATCTTCTCTCTCCTCCCTTGCAGACCTTCTTTAGCTTCTGCCTCACTAGCTTTCAGTTCTGCTTCTTCCTCTTGCAGCTGATCTCCTGATCAATGCCTTCCACAGTCTTCTGAATTCTAAGGCACCTCCTAATAACTCTGCCAGAATCAAACTGCCTGAGAAATGTTCAACAGCTCTTTATATATTGTTCAGTCAGAACCCCTCAGCCACTCAGCCTGGACATGGGTATCACATGGTACCAATTTCTATCCAACCTCCCTTTACAGAAAGACCAACCCCTGGCTTCCTTCCCCTCTCCACTATTGGTGGTTACCACTAATAGGTAACAACTATTTTTATCACCACACATTTGCAATGCAACCAGCATAAAAGACATACACTGTTAACCCATGCAGTCCTTTAGTCACTGAAACAAAACACAACTTTACATTTTGTTTCAGTTTTGGCACAGTTTCTTCACATTAGCTTGCTGCTAACCTACTGTGTTCACAGTGTATACAAATTGGTGATTTCCTGCCGCATTGTGGTCATAGCCATACTCATTCATCTTACCAAACTGCTGCCTTGTGTTGGTGCAGAATATGAGCTGGTTCTCTTTTAAGGGAAAAGAAACTAGTGGCTCTCGGATCCTGTCTCCACCTCATTCCCCCAGTGCTGTATGCTCTCAACTTTGCTTGCCTTCCACAGATCACAGCTGAACCTGTACAATATCACTCTTGCTATGCTAGCATAAATGAGGAGATTTGATGCAGATCTTTCAGACTGCTGGTGTTTCATCAATGGCATTAACCAGAAATGTGTTTCCTGTGCTCACAAGAAAGCTGAAAAATGTGTGTGTCCGCAATTCATCCAGAAACACAACCACCTGCAGTGGCTGGGCAGGGATACGCAACATTCCAGAGGCTGGGCCATTTGCTCACCCCTTTGGTCCACTAGATGTGCTTTCAGTGGGAAAGGCCATGCAACTGCAACTCAGTGAGGCAATGGTGAGGCGTGCACTGGGTGGAAGGCAGTACAGATTTAGAACTGAAACAACCCCCAGAAAGGACTTCACCACACCCCAGGACACTCGTTTAAAGGGTGGTGAGGCCCAGTTTTTGGATGCATTTCCCATCACTCCAGCCGGTAGTTTGCAAACCTGAGGATCTCACAGAGGAGAACATGCCAGACTGGACTTAATCTCTGGCATTTCGAGCCAGACAACCCAGTGTGTCAATGTTTCATTAACACAAGTGTGAACTCTATGGGCTGGTGCCTGCTAACATCCACTGTTTAGGGCAATACGGTCTGTCCAGGTGAGCAGCACTAGAGACTGGTCCCTCATCTTAATAGTGCCCATTATTCCAGCCTGATGGCTCACCTTGGCTGGTCTAATATCCTTCAGAAAATGCTGCAATTTTTTAGTGATCCATCAAGCACTGACCCACTTTTTCTGTTTGCACGATCAATTAATTAAGAGAGCCCAAGTGTGGGCTAACATAGCGACATATGAATTTAAACAGGGTGTTCTTCAGCCTCAGGGTGTTCTTTCTGCAGCATGCAGGATATTTGCCATTTGTGTGACGAGGAGATGCTCAGACCTAGGAGATGCCTTGTTGCTCAGGACAGTGAATGCTCTTTTAATCAGGAGTTATGAGTGTTAGTACACCATCCTCAATACACCCTAGTGCAGTGGTAGCGAACCTATGGCACACATATCACAGTGTGCATGCAGAGCCCTCTCTGTCGGCACACAAGCCAAGTTGCCCCAGCATCACCCCAGCAGCCGAGCATCAGATAGGGGCCATGTGCATGGTTGGAAAGGAGTAGTGGCGCCAGGAGACTCATTGGACACGACTCATCCGAGCTTTCGCATGGCCGGTCAGTGCACTGCCAAGGATACATATATATATTTCCTCGACTGGCTGTGAGTTGTTTTTTCTAAAGTAAAACCTCAGTATTCAGGTTTTATTGCAGTGTTGGCATTTTGCGATAAATAAGTGGGTTTTGGGTTGCAGTTTGGGCACTCAGTCTCTAAAAGGTTCACCATCACTGCCCTAGTGCATCTAATTATGGCAGTGGTTCCCAACCTTTTCCAGGCCCTGAACCCCTAGAAAATGTTTGATTTATGTTTGCACCCCGTACAAAAGTAATAACATATTTGAAGAAGTCAAATTTCTAGTGTTTGAGTCACAAATTGAACCACATTATCATCATCATTTCAATTTATATTCCGCTATACTAGTCCAAGGACTCTCCAAGCAGATTACAATATTACATAAAATAACAATACAGTACTGCAGGTGAACGTATTGAATGCAAAAAATAACCTTTTAACTCAGTGCATATAATTCAAATATAAACTGAGCAGTTAGAAAAAATTATAAACATAAAATCAATCCCAATTGTGAAGATAAAATTCAATGACTTCTTTGTTCCTGCTTCTCATTCATGATTTTGACAAAACGTGGAACTTTCTTGCTGACTGCAATCCACAAGTTTGCCTGAGGATTCAGGCAATTCCTAGATTTTGCCTTGATTGACAAAAGAGAACTTGAACCCAAACAAAAAAATAATAATTTTATTGCTTGGATAATTTTGACAAAAAAGTTGCAATTTGACAGTTTTGGCAACGCAGTCTCCCTCTTTCTCACACCCCCTGCAATGCCAATCTCATGCCCCCCAGAGGAGTGGGCATCCCCAGTTAGGAACCCCTGATTTATGTGGTAGGGAAAATCCACATGTTGTAAGAAGATCAATTTTCACATCTTTTCTGTAATCAGGGCAAAAGCAGGAAGGGAAGAAGCATTGTTGGCAGAGAAATAACCTGAAGTGAAGGGATTAAAGACCACTTTTTCACAGTTGCAGGGGCTGCAGTTTGTGAAACAACAGAACATCAGAGAAAGGAATCACAGAACTACACCTAACAGTTAACACCTTCCTTAAGACATTTCTTGATTTCAGAAATAATACTACATTTTTCATACTAAAAATAAATGAATACATCTAGGAAAGTGCATTTGAAAAACAGAAATGAAACTGAAGAATCACAACATTGTCTCAAGAATCCTTAAACAACCAAGAGTAAAGAACTGCAAGCACCCGATAAATGCCTTGCGTAGAAAAGATCAGAGTAAGCAAGAGTAGACTTGTAAGTTTTACAGAGAACACAGTTTAAGTGGTGGAGGCTAAAATTAAGACCCAGTAAAGAGTGGAAAAGATGAAGGGGGACAGCAGAGAATGAGATGGCTGGATGGGGTCATTGAAGCAGTTGGCATGAGTTTAAGTGGACTCTGGAGAGATGGTGGAGGACAGGAAGGCCTGGAGGAATGTTGTCCATGGGGTCACAATGGGTCGGACACGACTTCATGACTAGCAACAACAAAAAGAGTGGAAGGCTATTCTGAGGACCTCTCTCAGGTCCTAGTGTATCTCCCCTTCTGGATTATGAGCTTTGCAGCTGCTATTTCACAGTATAAAGTCTCCAGATAGAAGATGTGTTGTTCTGAATCAATGACACAGAAGAGGCACTGTAAGATGGCCCAGCACATTGATCAAACTTGTTAGACAAGTAGTGGACTTACCTGGAATTCCTCTAAAATCAGCCTCACTTGGATCAAACGTGTGTAATTCCCAGTGCAGGTAAAACCATTTTTAGATCCAAGTGACTGTTAATTGTGAACCTGAAAAGAAGGCAGTTGGACATTTTGGGGCATGCCACTCACAAACGACCCCTTTTTCGTTTTGCTCTGTCTGGCAATCTGTCTGCTTACAGAAATATAAAGGCAGTGGCTTGCCCGTTTTTTCCGTGTCCTACATTCCAGTAAATTTAAAGCAAGGCAGTTCTGGAGGATGTGCCTTTTCCTTTGATACAACCAATAAATTAGATGCACCCCTCCTAGCCTGATCAATTCTGCCGCTTCTGTCACAGTGTCTCCATGAGGTGACCTTTTATGGCTATACCTATCCAGTCCCTATCCATGTCTAGAATTAACTGTAGCCTCCCATGGCTTAACTTTCCTTCTGCTACCTCTCTCCATTTCTGCAAACTCCTCTTTCCCAACCAAAGCTATGGTAATGTTAATCAGGCCCTTTTTGAATGAAAATGTAACGGTGGGCTATATAGGGCTATATAGCCCACCATTACATTTTCATTCTGTACTTTTAGAGTTCTCTACATTTCTGTCTTTGGATATGGTCTACCCTACAAACTATCTTTATTATACAGACAGAGTTGGAATTGGCCTCCACGTGAGGGTTTTGTAGGACGAGGGTCAACGGTCAAGAGTAGGAATGGCTGGATACCTGCCGGGAACACTTGCCTGGCAGGGTCCCACTAGCAAGTGCCCCATGAAGCCACTCCTTCTCTCCACCATTGCACATGAGTTTGTTTACGGTCTTCTCTCTCTGGCCCAGACAATGGTGGAGGCACTCGCTGGCTCTGTGCCTGCCTGTCTGATAGTCGTAGCCATGAGGAGACCATGAGGAACAATAGCAGCTGGTGCCCATGGCAGTGGGAAGGCCAGTTTGTTGGGGGCACCTTTCCTAAGGGCCCACCAAACCCTGGAGCCCACCCTGTGACTTTTCCTCACCAGCCTTTTGACAAAAGCAAAATCAAACTTGTCCCTGGATGGGCTTTGGAGGTATAGAATTGGGAGTCATGGTCTGCTTCTGTGCCTTCTTAGCATTCCATGCCATCTCCTCTGGGAGGCCTTCTGGTTTCCTAAATTTGTTCCTAACCTAAAAGGATGGCTTTGTAGGCTTGCAGGACTGTCTGAAGCCTGAGCCTTGGTCCTTACTTGGTCCTGGTCTTGCTCTCATCATTCCAACCATTTACAATTCCACATCCATAATTATGTTGGCTGTAACTCAACCATATTTATAATCTTAATACATGCACACCCTGCAACTGCCCCACAACAGATATTGCAGTAAAAAAGTTTGTGCAGCTATATGTACTTTTATCCTTTACCTGGGGAGAAAGATATTCATCTTTGTTCTTCTCAGGTTGTTGGACCACCATGGGAAGATCCGGGCTGAGAGGTATGCCTCAGTGCTGGCTAGAGGAGTTCTCCTATCAGATGGAAGCAGTACAAACATACTGACTGTCTCCCTGAGGTAGGGCAATTCCACCACACTGATCTGTTCCAGAGAGCCCATCAGGAATTCTCCTGCAAGGTGGAAAACAAATGTGGAGCCTTGCATTCTTCAGGAAAAGCCGTGCAGATCTTGGCTCTGTGAGTACATGTGTAGTGATCACAATACTACATACTTTTGTATTGTATTGTATTTGTATTGTATTGTAATACACAATACCTTTCCATAGAACCTTCAAGTATTCAGAGCACTTTGCATGCATTATATGGTTGTAATCCTTACCACAGTGCTGTAAGCGATGTCTGTTTCATGCTCTCTCACACTGCAGATAGGAGGAGTGGCTTACTTAGGGCCACCTAGGAAGTTAATGGCAGAGGTGAGAGTTGAACCGGGAATTCCTGACTACATCAGTCTAATATTTGAGGAGGTATGTGTCCCTGGATTCTGAGGAGCAAAATGCAGCAGCAGAACACTGTTCAAAAGCTCATGTGAATCGAGAGGGTCTTTGCGTATTATTTATTTGTAGCATTTTTATCCCACCCTTCAGGTTTCCAAGGCAGTTTACAAAGACAATATTACCCACAGGCTTGTAGTCTAAAAGACCTGACATAAAAGGAAAGAGTCCTGCGAGGGAGGAGGGGAAAAGTAGATCCCAGCAATTGATTCTCAACTGCAAAGTTCAGCTGGTCAAGAAGTTGGATTTGAACTGAGCCAAAAGTCTGTGGCTACTTCCTCCTCCTTGAAGTGCTCAAAGTAGCTGTTCATAGCAGGAGGGAAAGGGGCTCTCAGCCAGAGCTGCACTACCCAGGCATGATAGACGGGTGTTTTGCAGCTGCTGCTTTTCCCTCTGAACACAGTATTTCCCCACTAGAGCATACCAGAAGAAATTTTTAATGAAAGTCTGCATATGCCACATACTTAGGCACACAACTCTGACTACAACCCTGACTCACAGGAAGGTTTTAATCATACTGCGGCACTTTTTTGCAAGAAAAATCACTTTAGCTTTAGGGTGAGTTGGACCATAAGGAAGGCTGAGCGCCAAAGAATTGAGGCCTTTGAATTGTGGTGTTGGAGGAGACTCCTGCGAGTCCCTTGGACTGCAAGGCAATCAAACCAGTCAGTCCTAGAGGAGATCAACCCTCACTGCTCTTTAGAAGGCCAGATCCTGAAGATGAAACTCAAATACGTTGGCTACCTAATGAGAAGGAAGGACTCACTGAAGAAGAGACTAATTCTGGGAACAATTGACAGCAAAAGAAGAAGGGGGCGGCAGAGAATGAGATGGCTAGAAGGAGTCACTGAAGCAGTCGGCATGAGCCTAAGTGGACTCTGAGGGGTGGTGGAGGACAGGAAGGCCTGGAGGAATGTTGTCCATGGAGGTCGGGCCAGATGGGTCAGGCATGACTTTGCGACTAAACAACAAATAATTTTACCCCCATCATTTATTGTCAGTTCTAAACCTTGCTGCAAGCTCTTTATGTGAGGCATGCAATTTTTCACAAGGATTCTCTAACATGGATGTCCTTTCTAACAGATTATCTGTGAACAGAGGTGAGACAGTTTCGACAGGAATCTAATCTTGGAACACGCACCATTAAATTTGCCCATGCCTTTCCATTTAAAGCTGCAAATTTCTATCCCTTTTGATAATCCATATAAGATTTAAAATGTAATAGGCTTGTACTTCCAAGTACAATCTGTCTCTAAAGTTTAGAGGAAAATATGTATTAGCTGACATTAATTCTTGGACATGCAAGCTTGTTAAACCAACACTGTGTGTGCTTTGAAATAGAACTGCGCCAAATATTGCTCTGACGTGGGGGTCTTGGTGGGCAGCCCAGCAAAATGTTCCTTGAAATGTTCCCAGTTCTTTCTTACCTGTTCAATGTTCCCAATCTGTGCCATTTCCCCCCTCCCCCGCTGCACTCCATATTGCTGGCAAGATGCTTTTAGCCAATCAGAAATCGTCTAGTCAACATGATGATGCCACATCACCACAACGGCACGAAGCCAATTCAGAGTGAAGGTAATGTTTAGTTGCTATAGCTGGGCAGTATCTTTACTAAGGTCAAGCATTTTGAGAAGCAAGAACATCTTTTTATCCTGAGAGTGACCACTTTGTCCCGAAAGGCTATGGTGGCTCCTCCTAGAATAAACAATGTTAGACTATTTTCCAAAACCTAATGATATGATTACAAGAAAGATAAGGAAAGGTAAGTGGGTGAGTGACATTCACCCCTTCCTTTAAAAAAAAGGGTCAATGTACAAGTTTGGAATCAGCTGGATCCAAACTGAACCATTCATAAAATAGACCCTCGGAAATCAGTGGGGCTCAAGTTGTCATATTTCAGTTGGCCTACATCACACATGACTATGTCCTGACTGGACCCATTTATATTTGCATATGTTAACTTGTGCAGAATTACAAAATCCTGCACCAAAATTAACTTCTGCAAAATATTGCAGGAGCATCCCTTGCCCCATTGGATGCTCTCTTCTTCTCCTGTAGCGGGTTGAATCAAGCCTGGCATAATTACCATAATTGACATCTGCACTGAGATACATTGTAGGCACTTTCAGGGTGGTGCCCGTCTGTCATTGTAAAGGGCAAGGGCTGAGTGTCTCTGAAGGCAAACTTCCTCTGCCAAGTGCTTTTGAAGTGCGTGGTGCTCACCACGGCTACCTGGCTCAGGGAGGAATCCGCAGTTTCCAAGGACAGGGAACGGGTTTCTCCGTCTGCAGGGGAGAGAGAGCCAAATGATACTGCGCAACTCCAGAAATGTAAATGTTTAATTAGCATTATCTGCACAAAGATAGCCCCATCATTCTTCTGCTCCAGCAGGACTTTACGTGACTCAGGACCATCTTCATCAAAGAATTCTTATTTTTTAAAGTTAATTTTTATTGCAGTTATTTCAACTTTATTTGTAAACCAGCTGGGTAGGACTTACAGCCTGAAAGGCAGCATATAAAAATTGCCATTAATGAGAGCCAGGTATTAACGATTACTTATTGGGCCAGTCATTCATTCTTAGCCTAACTTCCTTCCCAGGGTTGTTGGTGTTGTGGGGATAAAATGGAGCTATGTAAGCTGTCTTGCATTCCTCACATGAGGAAGAATGCAGGATATAAATCCCAGGTACTGATCAACAGTAACAACTACAACAACAACATGTTTATCTTTGTTGCAAACTGAGCTGAGAACATGTTTAACTGCAGAGCAAAAATATTTTATATACATGCATAAATCCATTAAAATCAGCAGAAGGCCCCTGGCTCTGTGGTGCAGCACATACTTTGCCTGCAGAAGACTGCTGCTTTGATTTGCACACCTCAGGATTTGTTGGGAAAGACCGCCTTTGAATCCCTGGATTGCTGCTGTCCCCAGCCAGTGTGGTCTGAGCATGGCAAATTGCTCTATTCCTACTGGGATGGAGGATGCCTCTCCTCAACCTGAGATCCGGGGGGGGGGGGGGGGGGGGGTGCACTGGGCCCTGCTTGGCTGGGGTCTCGAAGTACCTGGTGCAAAGCAGGTCCATTCAAAAGCTACATGACCAAATGTGTCGCTTTACCTCCAATGCTTGTGGCAATCCACTCGTTGATCTGTGCTGCAGAGCTGTTTGGCTCGCTGAAATTTGTTTGCTGCACTGTGTTGTTTGTCCAGAAGGCAGCGTGCTGAGCACACTGAGGTGAAAGAGGAACTCCGGCTTGAACAAAGACGGCACAAGCCAGCTGTGCTGTGGGGCCTTGGCTTGGGTTTGCCATTTCTTCGTATGCAGCGTGCAAGAAGTCCCGTGTGTCCTGATCTAGGGACAAGAAATGCCTTTGAGTTATTGATTTCTTGGACAATGAAGAAAATGCTCTGGTAAAAAATACACCCACCCAGCACTATTAATAGTCAGCCCTATGATCTTTAGAGGGCCATTCCAGAGAAGGGACCATAACTCATTAGAGGAGCCCCTTCTTGGCATGCAGGAAGTCTCAGTTTATGTCCCTGGCAGCTCCAGGCAAGGCTGGAGAAATTCCTGGCTGTGACTCTGGAGAGCTGCTGTGGATCAGTGCTGACACTACTGGGATAGATGACAATGCCCTCTATTCCTTTGCCTCATTCCTCAGTTTTCTGCTGTAGTCATCTGGTTTTGTTTTTCTGTTGCTCTGCTTCCAGACACATCAGCTTCCCTACAGGCACATAGGTTGAAAGGGAATGATGCCCAAATGTTAAACGGGCACACCAATTCTGCAAGATGACTAGCCAAGGAGTTGATTGCTGAGCACACACTGACAGCGCACGTTTGAGAGCCCACTGGTGCACTAAAAGCAAAGACTCTTGCATATGGTCAGAGACCAAGTATTTGAATACACGTTTCTACCTTGAACCATATGTAATACTTGCAAGAACAGAAGGAAGGGTGGGTGGATTGTTTGTATGTATTATAAATGGCATCAAAACTCTATGGGAGAGACAGCTTTTCAGGATTTTATCAGGGGATATAAGGGGGTTTTTCATTGCAATGGCAGCAGAAAATTAAAAATATAATGTTTAGATTTTGAGACTTAGGGTGCAATTGCATGCATGTTCAGACCAGGAAGTCCTACAGTTTCCAGCATCCTGCAACCAGTCCTGTAGACTGGAAACTGCTGGGCATTGTAGCATTTCTTTCTGTCTAAACAAGCACAGAATAAGGCCTTTCCACACAATCATATTCATTTATTCCTAGAAGTAATTTCCACTAAATTAAATGGTACTTACGCCCAGGCAACCCTGCATAAGATTACAGTCCTAGAGTATGAGTCTGAAAGAAAGTATGATGTTGGCAAAGATAGCATTAAATTAAATTAAAGGGGAAAACCTGCCAAGTTTGTTTTGATTTATATGTTTTCTCTGGTGTTGGTCAAAGCTGCAAAGGGAATTTTAGGATGGTATGCAGCAGTCACCGAAAAGCCAATTTTACAGATGGTACCTTACCATGAGTGCTATATTCCAGAGCTTGCTTTAGCTGTGCAAAGGTATGCTCCAAGCTGCAGAAGTTGCAGGGACAAAGAAACACTTGCCGGGGAGATGGCGAAGTTGGTTCTGTTATCAGCCAGTTCTGCCAGGTGTTGATAAAGGTTGAGGGCAAACTTGGTTTTCAGGTTCTTTGGGTCATGGTGGTATTCACAGCCCTCAACATTCAAACAGCAAAGAGACAAAAGAAGGGCTGTGACGGAAAGAGGCTGCTTGAAGACAGAACAGAACATGGGCCAAAGTTTGACACACCTGCAAGGAATGATGGGGAAACTTGATTACTGTCACAAATGATAATTGAACTCTAATCAGGTATAAGATGTGTAATGGGCAAAAGTCTTCCACTTTCCACTATGTCAAGCTAAGGAATGTTTCCCAGTGCATTTGCTCAGTCATATTGTGCATACTGAAAATATATTCGCTTTCAATGAATAACATTCAGTACAAAGATGTGTGTGGGTGTGCGTGCATGCATGTGCACATGTGTGCACATGTTACATTGGTCCCAGAAAATAAAGAATACATAGTAAGAGAGAAGTGCAGAACTCATCCTTGGGCAATACAGTTATTGAGGCCAGCCAAATTTCCACATTCTGTGGAATTTTAAAGGGCAAAGATCTTACCCAACTGGGGATTGTGGGGGTTTTTTCCTGCATGGGTCATCACTGCTTCTTTTTTTTAAGATAAGAAAGGTGCTCTCTGTTATTGGACTTCAGGATGTGCATGCTAAAAGTCTAGAAGGGTTGCCAGTGCAAAGCTCTGCTACAGCAAAGGAAATGCATTTTAACTACACAGACAGCACAATTACTTGTCATGCAAATTATTTCTAAATTTTCTCAGACAAAGAAAACTCACAAGCTAAGCAGAAAAGACCTGGACAGTTCCCTCTAAACAATGCAAGTTCAGAAATGCTACACCTAATTCCATCTCCAAATTTTGCACACATGCCTACCCTGTGTGCTTTTTTCTCTAGAGAGCGACTGAGTTCTTCCAACATGCTTACCGTAAGCTCTGTTGAATCATGTTGCGATGCCTTTCCACTGTGCTCCCGTTAGACCCATGTGTGGTTTTAGTCTATCCCCTTCTGCAATATATAATGAAGCAAGGTCTTAGTCATAAGACCACACTGAAAGGGATAGTGAGCGGTCATGGTCTCTGCCGGCGATGTCTGTACCACCCTACCTAAATTCCATTTAAGTTCTATATGGAGCCAGGCAAAGAGGCTCTATTAGCCAGCAAATCCTGAGTGAGGAACAAAAAAGAACGGATGGAGAAGGAGCCAGCAAGCACAGTCCAAGTCTCAGGAGGCTTGTGACCTGCTTCAGCTAAGAAAAGTGTCCCCTACCAGCATCACTCCCCCCCCCCCCCCCCCTTCCTCTGGTTGCACATTCCATAGACCTCTCATTCATTCACTCCTGGAAGAAACAATCATGCCTGATAGGTGCCAGGCACAAAGCTTATCTGAGCAGGCTGGGGGAAGAAGGCACAACCACCCTAGGCAAAACGTTCTCCATGATGCCTCCATCCAATTTCAACTTGGCAGTCTTACCATCAAGTATTAGGCACATTTGAGAAGAAAGAGGCTCTCCCAATTGATAGACATCAGTTCTTTAGCTGTGGTGAATCATACTTCCAGCCCGGTTTTTTTTACAGAAAAAGAAAAGGGGAGGCAGGCAGAGGGATGTGTGGTATACATTGACAAAGCTCTGTAAAATGGGAGAACTGCAGATAAGTAATGTTGCTTCCAGTTCAGGACCGAAATAGGATTCAGGACCTTCAAAATCTGGAAACATTTGACAGATTTGCACTGGGGACAAGAGCATGGTGGGAAGGCCTGGCAGTCTGAATGGCCCACTCTCTCCCTTTCCCCTCACTGACCTCTAGAGCAGCCTTACCCAATCTAGTGCCTTTTAAAAGTTTTGGACTTCAGCTCTCATCTGCACTAGCCAATATGGTGAGTGGTCAGGCATGTTGGGAGTTGTTATGCAAAACATCTGGAGGGCATCAGGTTGGGAAAGATTGCTCCACAACAGGAAGATAGGTATCCAGACATTTTGGACTTCAGCTCCCAGGAGTCCCTGCCAGCATGGACAACAGTCAAGAATGCTGGGAATTGGTATCTAGAACATCTAGACAACCACTTGCTGCCCACTTGGCTCTAGGAGAAAAGAAGCCTAGGTCCCAGGGCATAGTTTGAAGTCTGCAACATTGCTGAAGCCAAGCAGGTCTGGATCTGTTCAATATTCAGAACACCAGTCTGAGTTCTACAGGAACAAAATGATATGTAAATGCAATCAAAACATTTAAAAATGTGCCCAGAAGCTGCTTGTCTGGTGAATGAATAATTTGTTTTGAACTTTTGCATAAAATTGTGATAGTAGATGCATTCTAAACCAGATTCAGTGTTAAAGAACAACTTCCTTTATAGGTGTGGCTTTCTTGGCAGTACTTCACAGGAGTGTGAGAATGAAATTATGATCAAGATGCGAATTCCATGTGTCCATGTGCAGATGGGTAACCTGTTAGGAAAAGAGAGAAAGGCAAACTGAGACCTGCACTATGCATAACATGCTAATTAAATGCAGAAATAAAACACGGATGAATAGATAACACAACTCAACAAAGAAGAATGGGAAACACCAAATCCTGGGCAAAATTTAAATAGGAAGAGAATGCAAGATCAACAAGTTATAAATGCAACAAGCACTTTTCATTATCACGGGTTAAAAATCTGTGAAATTTCATAGAATGGCTTGTGTTCAGGGGGAGGGAAAGTCTACCTGTTTGCTTTTTTTAACCCTCTATTTGAAGGGTTCCTTCATTGGAGGGCCTGCCCAATTCAAAGTATAAAGTTTGGTACAAAGATAAAACCATAAGCAGCTGAGAGAGCAAGAGAGGACTTGAAGTAGACCAGCAACCATTAGTACCTGCACACCAGATGCAGAAGACAGGTCCATGGGTCATGGCCTCCCTGCTGTGATGAAATTTGCTGTATTTTCACTGAAGCTATAGTTATCATTCTGTTCTGGAGAGGGAAGTGCACAGATCCTTAAACAATCTCAGGTCAGAGAAGTGCTAGCAGAACCAATTCTGGTGCTGATGCTGTTCTATGAACTAAGAGCTAGCAGAAGACCATGGATTTTATCTAGTGCTAGTCCTACTTAGAGTACACCCATTGAAATGAATAGGACTTAAATGAGACAAACATTGAATGCCACCCATTGGGTGACACTGTGCATGAGATCAGGCAATGTCTTGCACAAACGGAAGCACACTTCTGGATTTCAGTGGTCTTTTTTAGGGCAAGGATCTTATAGGAAGGGCATAATTGTGTGCATGTTTAGACAGAAAGGGGTTCTACAACTCCCAGCATTCCTTGCCAACATGGATTATGCCCACAAGATCCCTCTGCTTGCGGAAGGGGCATCTCTGGAGTCGGATCCTTCTAAGCATGTTTACTTGGAAGTAGTTTTTCCTGACCTCTGTGCAAATTGGTTCCTGGATGTGCTTAGTGTTGTAGGCTTGAGAGCATGAGAGGATTCTGCTGCTGGGGCTGCTCTTACTCATCTTTGTATGCAAGAGTTGTGGGGAAAACTCTGCAAAGCATAACCAGAAAGGCTATTTTGGATTATTTTAAGAAAAAGTGTTTTATTCATAGAATGGAGGTGAGGGAAAATTGGATAAGAGTTGTGTCATTTCCTTATCCTTAAATGTATCCCACCCCTTATCCAGCAGGTACCTGCGGAGGTTGTGCCACAACACAGAGAATGCCATTGCCTTGCCACGACAGATGAGCCACCGACAACCATGTGGGAGTCCCCTGGATTATTTGTAGGACCTTTCACAATGTACATGTCAATCAATGTTAGTTACAAGGCACTTCCTGGGCACAAATCAATAGACAGCTTGTCCACTGAATGACAAGATGGGTTTAAAGCATGGATCTGCGGTAGGCAGCTTACAGCCTTCCAATGTGTTGGTCTGTCACTTCTATGTTGACTAGGACTGATGTGACTTGTAGGCTAAAACATCTGGAGGGCCACAAATTACCCATCCCTAGTATAAGTGAGGACACTGTTTAATGTTGCTTTTGGGTAATCACTTAAATAAAAGAAAAAGAAAGTATGATCACCTACATGCTACACATTTAATAGAGTGGATAGTTTAGTCAAGAATCCATATATTTTGCAGTTCAGTTTTAATAGCAAAGCTCTGACATTTGCAGAAGGAAGGAATTGCCCAGACTAGACTCCTAGCATTGGTTTAAAATTAATGCTCATAGGTTACCCTCACTTCCACAAGACTGGAGGCGGAGAGGAAACATTGCAGCAGCTTCTTTTTTTAATAACTTGCTGTGTTTGTACTTCCAAGGTCTCTGTAGCTGTGCAAATATTTGATGCATTTTTCCTATGTTTATAGCAAGTTGAACACTCATTGTATTTTTATCTTTATTGGATATAGCTAAGAAATGCTTTCATTTAGATTTAAGTGTGACAGCAATATTATCTTCTAAGGAATTTGCCTTGGATTAGGAATACTGTACAGGCTAAAATTCCGTTGGATAGGGGATTAGAATATTATGTTCGAGCTCTTGCTTGTGGCAGTCACTGGTCCTTATGTAAATATATCTATCAAAACATTTTTCAACAAAGATGTTGGCAATTCTTTTACCTGGGGTGCATTGTTAGACAGAAAAACACTGGCTGGGAAATGTGAGCAGTTAGGTCTTTTTTCTGCCTGAACATGCATAGGATTGCAACCATATACTTTGCATTCCTAATACATTTATATAATTACTAGACATTTACATAATTACAAATATTAGTTCTTCTGGAATTCCATGGGGCTTCACAGCTTATTTCTAACTGAAGGTCATAATCTGTTTGTGACATCACACTTGTTATTGCGGCTAACATTGTGATGTCACCAATGGAGGATTATTACTCTGAGAGGGGCATAAGCTGTAGAGCAGATCAACTCCAGAGAATAAAGAGCTTGCTTTGACGTAAATGTCTCTGGTAATGAAAGATGATAAAAGAGGCTTACTCACCCTTTGCTTCTAAATCCCAGAAAATATGACAGAAGAAGATTGGCCATCAACTAGAATAGTAGTAAAACATCTCCATGAGGCATCTGTTTTCTGTCTTGAGCTTGGCTGCCTAACTTCTTTGCATTCATGATCTTCTCTTCATCACAGTAACCCAGTACTGTCAGAAACGATTCCTTAGGCCATCAAGGGCACAGAGCTTCAGCACCTTCAGAGTTTCTGTTCACACATCTCTCTTGTCATTCTTCCTATCCTGGGGAGACAGGCAGTGATAGCAGGCTGTGGTACCAGATCTCTCCCATCCATCAATCACCAGCCAAATGTTAATGGATGCCACCAGATATGGATTTGTAGGTGTCAGTAAATGATGAAAGCAATACTTACCTGGTAACTGGCCTAAGGATTCCACCAAACATGGGGCTCCTTTGCTTCTTTTGATCCTATCTGTGGTTTGTATTAATACTTGAACAATGCAGGAATTTTAGCCCCTTTCCCCCTCTTATTTCCTTTGGGACTGATGTTGAAAAGCATGCAAGATTTGGAGATGCTGTAAGCAGAAAAAAAAAAAGGTTGATTGAGAGATATTGTTACTTTATATATAGACAAAGGGAAAAGTACCAAGAAAAAGAAGTGACTTAACTAGGAACTTTGGTTCTTGTTGTTTCCAGATGAACGCCTCCCTTTATGAAAATGACACTTTTGCGTCCAACTGATCTCAAAAAGCTGCAAAGCTGCTCTGATCTCAAAAAACTCTGTGGGTTTGAGGAAGTGATACCATACTGAAATTGACCTCCTCCAAATGCAGAGGTTGGATCCAGAGGCAGTCATACAAAAGAGCAGGGCCATTGAAATCAATGGGACTTCTGTTAGTCATGACTGACTAAAGCCCATTGGTTTTAACGGATCTGCAGGAAATATGACCAAGGGCTTTTCTACACCAGGGTTTTAACCTGGCCCTTTATTGAGGCTTTGGATTCTGGATTCTTTGCAAGATTAAGATGAGCTCCTTTACATATTATTCTCTGTGATTATTATTTTCTCTGCTTTTGTGTATGTGCCATACACACCCACAAAGTACAGCAGGATCACAAAAAATGCACTAGCTTTTCATTGCAGTTCATTCCAACATTTTCAGCCAGTACTAGTTTCCTCCCTCTAAAAAAGGCTTAAAAACATGGTAGAGGCTCATGATGGTGTCCTGTCAAGCACCCACAAAATTCTGTGAGGAATCAAGAGCAAGTGCACAAGAAATTCCTCTTGCAGAGAAGCCCTCAGTCTAGAACTCCCCCCTGGTGTGGAACAAATGATACAAATGAAGAATATGACCCAGGCATGGAAGGCTATTGAGCTTTACAGTTAACCCCTTATAGAAAAGCTCTGACATTTGCAGAAGGATGGGGGCTTTGCCTTTGATTTTGGTAGATAACAAGTCAGTAGCAATAACTGCAATTTCATTGTGCCAGTGATGTGACATGTGGGATCTGGATCCGCTCTCTCTCTCTCTCTCTCTCTCTCTCTCTCTCTCTCTCTCTCTCTC